TTCTCCATATCTGCAATAAGACTGTTTTGCTATCTTATTTATGCGTTTACCAGAGTAGTGCATTTAAATTTTTTTCTATAACTTTTCTTTGCATTCACAACTTGGCTAACTGGTGCAAAAGCCCTAGCTTCTGGCCTGTCTTGGTTTTGACAGGCCTTCTTCACTAAGCTTAATCATTCCTAGCTTTTGATTTAAATAAGAGACATGTGACTCTTTCACTTGAATACTTAAAGGCCATTGTAGGATTATCAATTGGTCTCATTTCAATATTGTTGTGTCTTACAAAATAGAAAGGCCTGAAGAGAGGGAGAGATGAGTGGGTGGAGCAATCAAAACATACATCATTTATCAATTAAGTTCACTGACTTATATGGGCAGTTTGTGGTTCCCTAAAACAATTACAATAGTAACGTCAAAGATCACTAATCACACATCATCATAACAGATACAATAATAATGAAAAAGTTTGAAATATTGTGAGAATTACCAAAATGTCACATAGAGATATGAAGGGGGCATATGCCATTGGAAAAATGGTATTGATAGATTTGCTCATTGCAAGGTTGCCACAAACCTTCAGGTGCAATAAAGTGAAGCATAATAAAATGAGATAGGCCTGTATTTGGTCGAACATCATTCTGGGTGTGTTTGCAGAGGCGGCTCCTCTCTGCAGGCAGGTCCCCATTGACTTCCCAACTCTCAGCAGAGAGGATAACTACTGTCTGCAGCTGGTCATCCCGTCATCTCTCAGTTGTCCTCTACCATGCTATTGCTGATCCTGGGACTTTCATTGACCTCAGAGGGGAGGAAGTGCATGTGGATTGGTCCATCCGTGGCCATGGATGGGCAGAAAAAGGCACCACAAGACCCCACTCCAGTCCACCGGTGTGGCAGCCTGACCCCCAGCCTTCAGACTCTTCCTGGTCTGAGGATGGGGCCTTACAGGGACCCGCTCCCTTCCACCGAGGAGCCAGTCTGCCTCCTGACGCCTTCCATGGTGCACAGGCTGCTTGTGCCAAGGGGCACCTGCAGGCCAACGCTTCCCCCTCATCCAGTCTTGTCTGGCCCAACATCCAGAGGGGGCTGAGGTGGCAGGGCTCGATCATGCGTATACCCGGCAGGGTTATGGCAGTGCCTGGGCTCAGCTCCACCTACTCCTAGGTTGGATCAGGTGCAGAGAGTGGAGAGAGACCAGGCAGTAGGAGCAGGCACTTCCGAGCCTGCAATGGCAAAGGGGGCCTTCCGGGCTCTCAAGAGCACACAGAGGCCCGGGTCTACCGTCCGGATTTGAACAGCTGCAGCTGTGCCTGGGGGTGCGGGGCTCCTGCCTGCTCCCGGCCCTCAAGAGCACACGGAGGCCTAAGTCTACACCCCTGACGTCGGTGGCTGCAGCGGTGCCCAGGATGGGCAGGGCTCCTGCCTGCTCCCAGCACACAGGAGACCCGGGTATGCTGCACCGACTTTGGCGGCTGCAGCTGTGCCTAGTCGGGCAGGGGCTTTCAGGGACGCCCTGGATAGAGTAGAACTCAGGCCCTGGCTGTAGGGAGTGGCAGGCTCCGAGGTCACCCAAACGCCTGGCGGACCCCAAGGGACAGGCCCTGGGAGGCCTGCGCAGAGCCTCCTCCCGAGGCCCAGGAACTCCAGAATGCCAGCTGCAGATCACGGAGCTTCCCAGTGTTGAATGCACTATGGATTACATCCAGTGCTTTTAGGTACTATGTATATTTAAACATTGTGGTTTTCGTCTCTAGAAGTTGGATTTTTTAAAGTATCTTCCACATCTATAAATTTCTGAACATATGGTAAACAGTATAATTGTTTTAATGCCATAACTTGAATCATTCTAACATATGTGTCAGTTCTGAGTCAGGTTTGATTTGTTGATTTTTTTCCTTACATCATATTTTCCTGCTTTTTTTCATGCTTAGTAAATTTTCATTGGAAAATTTTTTTTTACTGGGTATATTTATAATCCTAGAAATATCCTTGAATTTGTTCTGGAGTGCTACTAAATTACTTGGATACAGTGAAACTTTAGTCACTTGTTTCGAAGATTTGTTAGGTGCAACCAGAACAGTGTTTAGTTTAGAGCTAATTATTGAAACTCTTGAAGCAAGACACTTTTGATTGCTAAACTCAATGCCTCAGGAATTCTTAGGTTTTCATTCTGGCACATAAATAGCTTGAGAACCCACAAAATTCCCAGCCTTTGCATAAACACTGGGCGCTATTTACCTTAATCCATTAAGTAGTTCTTTCCTCATTCTTGGATAGCTTCCTCACACACATATGGAGATCAGTGCTCAGCTAAACTCAAGCAGGTCCCTCTCTCTGTGTATTAGTCCATTTTCATACTGCTATAAGGAAATACCCAAGACTGGGTAATTTATAAAGGAAAGAGGTTTAACTGACTCACAGTTCCACATGGCTGGGGAGGCCTCAAGAAACTTACAATCATGGTGGAAGGTCAAGAGGAAGCAATGACCTTCTTCACATGGTGGCAGGAAAGAGAAGTGCAAGCAGAGGAAATGCCAGACGCTTATAAAACCATCAGATCTCATGAAAATTCACTCACTGTCACGAGACCAGAATAGGAGAAACCGCCCCCATGATCCAATCACCTCCCTCCCTCAACATATGGGGATTACAATCAAGATGAGATTTGGGTGGGAACACCGAGCCAAATCATATCATTCTGCAAGTCGTGAAAGATTTTTCTATGTTTAGCATTATCTTTTCTGATGCTTTTTATGACAAATTCTGCCTTAGTCTGGTTGCTCAGTTCTGTCTCCTTTATTTCTGTTTTGTTCAAAAGTTGTACTCCTTGATATAAAGGTGAATATCTAATTTTATTTCAGCAACTTGTACATAGTTGCCATCAAAAAATATTTACCAAATAAAGGAATAAACATTTTCATCATAAGATAAACTTCATCATAGCAGCAGCTCATTTAAATGATGCTGTTTTTGTTGTTTTATAACATATGCCAAATATTTTTATTTAATAATTTACTAATATTATTTTTAAGTTATGTTGGGTAATTAATCCAAATCAACAATATATAACTGTGATAAGAGTCAGGAAATTTCTATTGTTTCTAAAAGTATTGGGAATTTTCCACTGCTCCTAGAATAAATATGATAGTAGACTTGGTTCTGATATAAATATTTTTACCTTATTGAATATGTTTTCCTACTGTTCCTACAGCACAGGGCATATTTCTATTTAATGGCTTGCTGGATATTTGCATAATTGATGTAATATTTGATAACTTTTAATATTTAATAACTTTAATGTTTTGGTAATACTTTCAGGAATACTTAAAATATTTCCTTATTAAATATGTTCAACATTGCCTTGTTTTGATTTGCTTGCCTGATAGTACAGGTACTATAATTTATTTAATGATATATTTAAATATATAGCCTTCCAAAATCTCAGGCAGCATACATGCAGAAACATTATACCTTTATAAAGTCAAAAATTTTAAATTATTTAAAGATAAAATTTTTCTCTGGCATATCTGTAATAATGAAAGTGAATCAAAATGTATTTCGAGAGCTTTGGGGACATATCTTGAGCAGCCACCCACATCAGCAAAACATTTCTCCAAGCACCCGTATTTCTATTTAAAAATACATGCGATTTTCTCAGCATAATATATCCATGTTTATTCCAATGCAGAATAGTAGTTTCAATGTTCAATTATTTTGAGTTCTATTTATACTTCTAAGTTAAACAAACAAAAACAAGAATATGTCAAAATTTTTATTAAATAACCCCAAAAACCCCACAACATTTAACCTCTGAGAAACATACTCCTTTAATAGAATAAATAAATAAATACAATAAGCATTTTTTTCGTAATACATATTAGGATGTATTTTATTTCATGCCAATAGCAGACTCCATATAAAAATGAGTCATGGGTTGGGAAAAATACAAAAAATTCATAATGTCTAGGATCCTTTTCCAGATTATACTAGAATTAAGGAAATGCACTCACTTTCTCTTATATAGCCACGGGCCTTCGAAAGTGTTCCCCAAAACCTTTTCTCTGTGTTCCAGCTTCTCATCTGTCTTAACACTGGGAGCCACAAAAGTGGACATGCTCACAGTACAGGAAATAGAGCTTTGCACTGTTCTTTTAATGACATAGATTTTTTTGTGAACTCACTCTATTTTGTCGTGGTATCTTTGGCTCATAGGTTTGTGAGGCAGTTTATAGCAATAGGCTATAAAAGTTTTTTTTTTTTTTCTAAATAAAGATAATAGATCAACCAAAGTTTTGAATTCCACATGGTATTCTCAAACCCCTACACTGAAATAGGACTAACTTGCCCAGTCAAGTGGTGAAGAAAGTTTCCTTGTCAAAACATGTAAATTTCCACTGAGTTTGTGTCCCTAAATTAGAATTTTTTTCCATCTCAGGTTTTTCCCCTGCTGATCACTGTCCAAAGCATCTCACTGTTCATCTTTCCCCCCAGAGTAAGTTCTATGTGTATTGACCTAGACCTCGTTGTTGTGTACCAGGAGCGCATAAGACTGACTAAGGCAAAAAAGAATTTTAAAAGAATTCATGGCAAAAAAGTTATATTTAAAATCATCACCTCTAAATTTGTTCATTAATTTCTCTTTCCATAATTTCATCTTAATGTTTTTGAGCTACTTGTCTCTTGATTTTACTTGCCACTGAGACCTTAAAAAAGCATTTGAGGGTGATATAATTGGACATTGAATGTTAGAAGATGGCTAAATGGTGGCAATATATGTTGATCAAAATTAACTCACGATAGTACTGACATATTTTTCTAGGAGTTGGGATCATTTCTAATTTAATTGGGATTCATTTATAAACAATTTATGCTAAATATATTTCCTAAACTTTCTAAATATTTTTTTCTCTAGCTATTATACCGTTTTCCCCTACTTTAACTAGATTAACTAGTCATTAGGAAAAAGGAGAAAAAAAAGACTGACTTGATGGAATTCAATATTGTAAAGCAGGTATTCTCATAAGTGAAAAAATGCTACGTAGATTTTACCAAGAGTTAATTGCTTTTTTCTTAGTCTTGTTCCACTTGTGAACTTGATACTATTCCCTCATCAATTCCATGTCTGACATCTTTTTGAAAGTCAAACATATCTATCCTTGCTTCTTAGGACTTCTTTTCAGAGATCATCTTGTCTTAATCCAAAACTCTTTAGTCAGTGATCTTCTCAGGGCAGCTTTCACATCCTTGTTTCTCAATGTGTAGATGAATGGGTTGAGGGTGGGTGTGACAATGCCATAGAAGAGAGCCATGACCTTTCCCCGGTCATGAGAATAGCTAGAGGGAGGCTGGACATACATACTGATGGCCGTGAAGTAGAAGAGGGAGACCACCAGCAAATGTGAGGCACAGGTATTGAAAGCCTTCCAGCGACTATCAGCAGAGCGGATTCTCATTACTGCCTGAGCAATGAACACATAAGTGCCCAGGATGAGGGTGAGTGGCACCAGGAGAAGCAAAGCGCCTAGTACATTGAGCTCAGTTTCATTCACACCAGTATCAATACAGGCTAGTTTCAAAAGGGCTGGAACTTCACAGAAGAAATGGTCCAACACCCTCTGTCCACATCTTGGGGCCACCACTGTGAGAGTGGACTGGACAACGGAGTTAGCAAAACCACTGATCCAAGTGCCAAGCAGCCATGTGGGTACAGCATCTCTGGTTCATGATGACTGGGTAGTGAAGGGGCTTGCAAATGGCAGCGTAACAGTCAAAGGCCATGATGGCTAGAAGTATGGATTCAGTAGAACCTAGGGCCAAAAATATATAGAGTTGGGCAACACAACCCCCATAGCTAATGATCTTTTCTGCTCCCCGGAGGTTGACCAGCATCTGTGGGACAGTGCTGGTGGTATAACAGAGGTCCAGAAAGGATAGATTGGAGACAAAAAAGTACATGGGACTGTCAAGCTGGGGATCCAGGCAGGAAACTAGGATAATGGAGATGTTTCCAAATAGGGAAAAGATGTAGGCCACCAGAAAGATTACAAAGAAGGGTGTCTCTAGCCAGGGACAGTCAGAAAATCCCAATAGGATAAAATCATGTAACAAGCTTTGATTGTAGATCCACATATCAGCACTGGTAGGTGAAATTCCAGCTAAGACCTCTAAATACCCACAGTTAGGGATAGACATCAACAGTAAGAGGAAACCACTGAGAATTAGAGATCAGAGATGCTGAGATTAAATTTTCATTTTTGCTCTAATCTGCATCTGTATCTTCATGACAGTAAAATGTCATTTGCATCTATATCCTGATTATGATAAATTGTGGAGACAACATCATCAATGTAATATTGAAAGATTGCTAAGAAAAGAATAAATACCACACCAGCAACATAGTTGGTAATTTTGCTTCTTTAATATATGTCTTCTGTTTAGCTACTCACTTCATTTGAGTTTTCATATTTTCTCTTCTAAACAGTTTTATTAGTACCACCGTCAACTCTACATTCATGGATATTTAATGGTGGCAACAGAGTGTAGATTAAAACAGAAGGAAAAGGCAAAGCTTCCCACAAACAGGTCAAATGAAGGCCAGCATGAAGACTACAGGAGGATCTGCTGCCAGGGAGAGCAAAGACATCTTGGCATGTTCATCCGCTTTGTACAGATCATGGTCAGAAAACACTGTAAGAACTGCAGCACTTCATAAAGTCTGTATGATAAAAGGATGGAGTGTCAGGACCCGTTTTACCCCTTTCAAGTTTTAATGCTAGTCCTACTCAGAAAATTTAAAAATAGGGAGAAAGAAGCCAGAAAAATCAAACAAAATTACGCACACAAAAAAACAATCAGTCCTTCGAAATTTGTTTGCTGTGAAAATGCAACTTTAAAAGTATCTGGATAAATCTGATGAAACTTTAATCTCTGGAAGAAATCACCAGAAAGAGTTTTAAATATTTAAATCCTTGAAATTTGAGGATGTATATGAATTTCTAGTCCCTCAGGATCATTCTCAGCACATATAAACTTAATCATTTTCCCTCTCTCTCCCTTCTTTATTCACGATATTTTCTAATTACTGATACTAGGGACATGGATGCAGCTGGAAACCATCATTCTTAGCAAACTATCACAAGAACGGAAAACCAAACACCGCATGTTCTCACTCATAGGTGGGAACTGAACAATGAGATCACTTGGACTCGGGAAGGGGAACATCACACACCGGGGCCTATCATGGGGAGGGCGGAGGGGGGAGGGATTGCACTGGGAGTTATACCTGATGTAAATGACGAGTTGATGGGTGCAGCACAGCAACATGGCACAAGTATACATATGTAACAAACCTGCACGTTATGCACATGTACCCTACAACTTAAAGTATAATAATAATAAATAAATTAAAAAAAAAATAAAAATAAAAAATAAAATAAAATAAAATAAAATCCTAAAAAGACAGTTTTGGAATGCTACCTTCATTCTGTCTGGATTGTTTTCTTGCTAGAGTCTCTTTCAGAATCTCATTTAGTTAGAACTCAGAAAATGTTCTAAATCTGAAGAAAGCTGTGTTTCTTTTCCTACATTTAAAAATTAGTAATAACATTTTCACAATCTTTATATTTTCCTACTGCTTCTGTTCCAGTAGGCACAGTTATTTGTTTCTATTAAGTGCTATTAAGTTTCTGGGATAAGTTTGGAAAGTTATGAATAAAATTAATTGTATACTTTACCCAGTGAAAACAGTAAAGTTATTAAAGAAGTATAGGTAGCCTGTTCCCCTGGTGTTCCATATACTTCATTTGTGCCTAAATATTGAAAGTGTGTAGGAAATAGAGGTAAAGTGAGTAATAAGAAAATAATAGCAGTAGATAAACTCATAAAGTAGAGTTAAGAGAGAAGAAAAATGGAAAGGAAAGAAAAACAGTAAGACAGAAAAAAGAAGTACATAAAGATAGTAAATTTTTGTCTAATACATAATAATAGTCACATAAGTAACTATCAAATATACAAACACAAAAAGAAATGGAAGAAAAATAGAAAATAAAAATGAAAGATCTAAGACTAAATTCAGTAATTCAGCTTAAATGTCTAGAAAGGACAGCAGGGAATACTTGCCTTTCTGACTGTATAAGAATAAAATGGAAATAGGAGAGTTTAATTTGCCTAAATCAGAAGTTAAAAACATGCTAATGATCCCCTTGAGGATGAAAAACTGGAGCTGGGAGACAAAAGAATCTATAGATCTTTGGCAAATGGGGTGCACAAAAAAACAAAGAGTGAGCAGAGAAGTATCTGACCACATGGTTTAAGAACACATGAAGAGGGGGGCGGAGCAAGATGGCCAAATAGGAACAGCTCCAGTCTCCAGCTCCCAGCACGAGTGACACAGAAGACAGGTGATTTCTGCATTTTCAACTGAGGTACTGGGTTCATCTCACTAGGGAGTGTGGGACAATCAGTGCTGGTCAGCTGCTGCAGCCTGAGCAGCGAGAGCTGAAGCAGGGCGAGGCACACTTCACCTGGGAAGCACAAAGGGGAAGGGAATCCCTTTTCCTAGCCAGGGGAACTGAGACACACAACACCTGGAAAATCAGGTAACTCCCACCCCAATACTGCACTTTACCAAGAGTCTTATCAAACAGGCACACCAGGAGATTATATCCCACACCTGGCCAGGAGGGTCCCACGCCCATGGAGCCTCCCTCATTGCTAGCACAGCGGTCTGCGATCTAACGGCAAGGCAGCAACAAGGCTGGAGGAGGGGCGGCCTGCCATTGCTGAGGCTTAAGTGGGTAAACAAAGCGGCTGGGAAGCTCGAGCTGGGTGGAGCTCACAGCAGCTCAAGGAGTCCTGCCTGTCTCTGTAGACTCCAACCCTCGGGACAGGGCACAGCTAAAAAACAACAACAACAACAAAAAGCAGCGGAAACCTCTGCAGACGCAAACAATTCTCTCTGACAGCTTTGAAGAGAGCAGTGGATCTCCCAACACAGAGGTTGAGATCTGAGAATGGACAGACTGCCTGCTCAAGTGGGTCCCTGACCCCTGAGTAGACCCACTAGGGGCAGACCGACACCCCACACCTCACACAGTGGAGTACACCCCTGAGAGGAAACTTCCAAAGCAAGAATCATACAGGTACACTCGCTGTTCAGCAATATTCTATCTTCTGCAGCCTCTGCTGCTGATACCCAGGCAAACAGCGTCTGGAGTGGACCTCAAGCAATCTCCAACAGACCTACAGCTGAGGGTCCTGATTGTTAGAAGGAAAACTAACAAACAGGAAGGACACCCACACCAAAACCCCATCAGTACGTCACCATCATCAAAGACCAGAGGCAGATAAAACCACAAAGATGGGGAAAAAGCAGGGAAGAAAAGCTGGAAATTCAAAAAATAAGAGCACATCTCCCCCTCCAAAGGAACACAGCTCATCACCAGCAATGGATCAAAGCTTGATGGAGAATGACTTTGACGAGATGAGAGAAGAAGGCTTCAGTCCATCAAACTTCTCAGAGCTAAAGGAGGAATTATGTACCCAGTGCAAAGAAACTAAAAATCTTGAAAAAAGAGTGGAAGAATTGATAACTAGAATAATTAATGCAGAGAAGGCCATAAACGAACTGACAGAGGTGAAAACCATGACATGAGAAATACGTGACAAATGCACGAGCCTCAGTAACCGACTCAATCAACTGGAAGAAAGAGTATCAGCGATTGAGGATCAAATGAATGATATGAAGCGAGAAGAGAAACCTAAAGAAAAAAGAAGAAAAAGAAATGAACAAAGCCTGCAAGAAGTATGGGATTATGTAAAAAGATGAAATCTACGTCTGATTGGGGTCCCTGAAAGTGAGGGGGAAAATGGAACCAAGTTGGAAAACACTCTTCAGGATATCATCCAGGAGAACTTCCCCAACCTAGTAGAGCAGGCCAAAATTAATTTTCAGGAAATACAGAGAATGCCACAAAGATACTCCTTGAGAAGAGCAACTCCAAGACACACAATTGTCAGATTCACCAAAGTTGAAATGAAAGAAAAAATGTTAAGGGCAGCCAGAGACAAAGGTCGGGTTACCCACAAAGGGAAGCCCACCAGACTAACAGCAGATCTCTCAGTAGAAACTCTACAAGCCAGAAGAGAGTGGGGGCCAATATTCAACATTCTTAAAGAAAAGAATTTTAAACCCAGAATTTCATATCCAGCCAAACTAAGTTTCATAAGTAAAGGAGAAATAAAATCCTTTACAGACAAGCAAATGCTTAGAGATTTTGTCATCACCAGGCCTGCCCTACAAGAGATCCTAAAGGAAGCACTAAACATGGAAAGGAACAACCAGTACCAGCCATTGCAAAAACGTACCAAAACGTAAAGACCATCGATGCTAGGAAGAAACTGCATCAACTAACAAGCAAAATAACCAGCTAATATCATAATGACAGGATCAAGTTCACACATAACATATTAACCTTAAAGGTAAATGGACTAAATGGTCCAATTAAAAGATGCAGACTGGCAAACTGGATAAAGAGTCAAGACCCATCAGTCTGCTGTATTCAGGAGACCCATCTCACATGCAGAGACATACATAGGCTCAGAATAAAGGGATGAAGGAAGATCTACCAAGCAAATGGAGAACAAAAAAAAGCAGGGGTTGCAATCCTAGTCTCTGATAAAACAGACTTTAAACCATCACAGATCAAAAGAGACAAAGAAGGCCATTACATAATGGTAAAGGGATCAATTCAACAGGAAGAGCTAACTATCCTAAATATATATGGACCCAATACAGGAGCACCCAGATTCATAAAGCAAGTCCTTAGAGACTTACAAAGAGACTTAGACTCCCATACAATAATAATGGGAGACTTCAACATCCCACTGTCAACGTTAGACAGATTTATGAGACAGAAAGTTAACAACGATATCCAGGAATTGAACTCATCTCTGCACCAAGCAGACCTAATCGACATCTACAGAACTCTCCACCCCAAATCAACAGAATACACATTCTACTGAGCACCACATCACACTTTTTCCAAAATTGACCACATAATTGGAAGCAAGGCACTCCTCAGCAAATGTACAAGAACAGAAATTATAACAAACTGTCTCTCAGACCACAGTGCAATCAAACTAGAACTCAGGACTAAGAAATTCAATCAAAACCGCTCAACTACATGGAAACTGAACAACCTGCTCCTGAATGACTACTGGGTACATAACGAAATGAAGGCAGAAATAAAGATGTTCTTTGAAACCAATGAGAACAAAGATACAACATACCAGAATCTCTGGGACACATTTAAAGCAGTGTGTAGAGGGAAATTTATAGCACTAAATGCCCACAAGAGAAAGCTGGAAAGATCTAAAATTGACACTCTAACATCACAATTAAAAGAACTAGAGAAGCAAGAGCAAACACATTCAAAAGCTAGCAGAAGGCAAGAAATAACTAAGATCAGAGCAGAACTGAAGGAGATAGAGACACAAAAAACCCTCCAAAAAATCAATGAATCCAGGAGTTGGTTTTTTGAAAAGATCAATGAAAGTGATAGACCACTAGTAAGACTAATAAAGAAGAAAAGAGAGAAGAATCAAATAGACGCAATAGAAAATGATAAAGGGGATATGACCACTGACCCCACAGAAATACAAACTACCATCAGAGAATACTATAAACACCTCTACGCAAACAAACTAGAAAATCTAGAAGAAATGGATAATTTCCTGGACACTTAACTCTCCCAAGACTAAACCAGGAAGAAGCTGTATTCCTGAATAGACCAATAGCAGGCTCTGAAATTGAGGCAATAATTAATAGCCTACCAACCAAAAAAA